ATTTGCTTTCTTACGACCTAAAAACTGTGTTTTAGCAGGTGGTCCAGGTACACATACCATGTGTATCTGCACATTACATTAAAATTTTAAGCTTATTTTAATAGGTGGAAAATTAAAACAGCTAATGTGTAAAAACAGAGCAAATAAATTAATTAATAACAAATATGAAATATTCGTCCTCTAGTCGACTCAATTTTATATTTCGTATTCATGGTCTTAAGTTGAAAGTCTACAGTAAATAAATGTAAAAATAGATCACAAATATCTTAATTAATAAAATTTGAAATATTCGTCCTCTAGTCGACTCACGTTCATATAAGTATAACTATTTGTCCTCTAGTCGACTCAAGTATATAATTCTTATTTGCAACTCAAGTTGGAAGTCTAAAATAAAAAAAAGTAATAAACAAATATCTTAATTAATAATAACTAATTTGAAATATTCGTCCTCTAGTTGACTACACTAAAGTATATAATTCCTATTTAAATCTCAAGTTGGAAGTCTAAAATAAAAAAATGTAAAAAACAGAACAAATCTTAATTATTAATTTGAAATATTCGTCCTCAAGTCGACGACTCAAGTTTATAAAAATATTCGTCCTCTAATCGACTCAAGTATATAGACTTGACTTCACGACTCGAGTTCATAACTCAAGTCAGTTTGGGTCGATTTTTTCGACCCAAAACTTAGACTCAGTTTTCGACTAAGTCGACTCGATTCAGTCGATTAACAACACTAGCTATAATGATGTAACCCTTAATATCCCTTGAAAGTGTTGTTATATTTTAGCGTGATATTTTTAAGTATGTTTCAAGTATATATATAAAATAATACTTTAATATTACAACTTAATATATTTAATAAATTTACTATTAATTTATTTTGTCATAGAATAGGTTAATTCCATAGAGAACTTCTATGAAATACTTAGAGATTTGGAAAAAATAATTTATCAATAATCAAAATTTATTTTCCTATTATTTAACATTAATACAAAGTATTGTGTTATAATGATTTAGTTATATATTAGTATGAAAATCCTTTTTAAGTTTGTTCCAAGTATCTTTAGTATTATAACTTAATATTTTAAATAAATTTACTATTAATTAATTTTGTCGTTGAAGAGGTTATTTCCTGTAGAGAACTTCATTTGAACTATTTAGATATTTGGAAAAATGATTTCAACATAATCTAAATATATTCTCCCTTATATTCTTTGGAAGTGTTTAGTTATATTTTAGCGTGATAAGCATTTTCATGTATGTTTCAATATATAAAAAAATACTTAATATTTATTATAGGTTACTATAAATTTATTTTGTCGTAAAAGAGAAGAGAACTTCTTTGAAATAGATACTTAAAGATTTGGAAAAAATAATTTTTCAATAATCTATATCTATTTTCCTATTTATCTAACATTACTAGAAGATATTGGGTTATAATTATTTAACACTTAATATCCCTACTAGAAAGTATTATTGGGCTATAAAGATGTAACCCTTAATATCCTATCAAAGTGTTTAGTTATATTATAGCGTGATATTTTTAAGTATATATATCAGAGACCTGCAGGCCCGGTCCGTATTTTAAATTTTTTAAATATACCCGGGCCGGGCCTAAAAATTTTTTTAAATATACCCGGGCCGGGCCCAAAAATAATTTTTTTTATACATATCCGGGCCAGGCCTAAAATTTTTTTTTTAAATATATCCGGGCCGGGTAGTAATATTTTTTATAACAATTTTTACATTATGAGTTAATGGTTATAAGATTATATTATATTATAGTTATGATTAATATAATATTGGGTGATGGTTAACACTACCTAACACTCACAGATCGATCTAATTATTAATTTCCTGCAAATTTATTCAAAGTATTAATATATTTTTTTATAATTCATATCTAAATTTTTACAACATATTTTACCAAAACAAATAAAGGAATATCTTAAATAAGCCCCAATATTCAAGTATTATTAATATATTTTTTTATAATTCATATCTAAATTTATAGAATATATTTTTTTCTGTCCCATTTTTCCACTACTGGGCGAATTATTGAAGAAAGAAGTAATCTTCAACTTGAAAAGGTAGATATGCTTCTCTTTCTATGATAATTTGTAAATTTTTAATATCTTTCTTGAGTATAGGGTTTCGTCAATCATGCTGGTTTTTTACTTTGCAAACTGTCAAATATTTATTGCATTTATTATATTTACCTTGAGTCATGAAAGTTTTTAATCCAACATTTTTCATTATTTTTTTTACAATATTATATAATACAATTATCTTCTTTTGTTAAAAATTTATTTTATAAAATAAATTAAATTAATATTGTGCAATTAGATTATATTTTCAAAATACTATTTATTATACATGCATTTTTTTAAATAGCTATTTATTTTTATTTTATAAATTAAATACAATATATTATATTCTCTAAATATTTTACATTTTTATAAATTAAATATTAGTTTTATTTTTTTTAAATATAAAATATAGTATATGCTCAAAATATTATTACCATTTTTATAAATATTAGTTTTATTTTTATAAATGCAATATAAAATATAGTATATGCTCAAAATATCCATTTTTATAAATAACAGTTTTATAATTTTTATAAATTCAATATAATATTCTCAAAATATTAGCTTTTACATGTATTTTTTAAATAATAAGCGATAATACTCGCTGAAAAATATGGTAAAATACCTCATAGGTGAATTTTTGTATATACCAGGTCGAATATAATTTTAAAAAATTCCGAGCCGGGCCTGAAATTTTTTAAATATCCGGGCCGGGCCGTAAAAAATTTTTTTAAAAAATATACGGGCCGGGCCGTGCAAATGGTGCCTCTGCAGGTCTCTGATATATATAAAAAAATACTTTAATATTACAACTTAATATATTTTATAAATTTACTATTGATTTATTTTGTCATAGAATAGGTTAGAGAACTTCTTTGAAATACTTAATGATTTGGAGAAAATAATTTTCCAATAATCAAAATTTATTTTCCTATTATTTAACATTAATACAAAGTATTGTGTTATAATGATTTAGTGTTTAGTTATATATTAGCATGAAAATCCTTTTTAAATTTGTTTCAAGAATATATAAAATCAGTGTTATAACTTAATATTTTAAATAAATTTACTATTAATTAATTTTGTCGTTGAAGAGGTTATTTCCTGTAGAGAACTTCATTGGAACTATTTAGATATTTAGAAAAATGATTTCAACATAATCTAAATATATTCTATTTATTTAATACTACTAGAAGCTATTTATTGACATATAATAATTTACCCTTATATCCTTTGGAAGTGTATAGTTATATTTTAGCGTGATAATCATTTTTACGTATGTTTCATTAAATAAAAAAATACTTAATATTTATTATAGGTAACTTAATATTTTTAATAAATTTACAATAAATTTATTTTGTCGTAAAAGAGATTAATTCCTATCGAGAACTCCTTTGAACTAGATACTTAAAGATTTGGGATTTCAATAATCTAAATCATCTAGAGATTGCTATCATAAATAATTTTCTAGTGTAGGTAATAATATTTACTCTACAATTGGCTATTAGTGTATTAATTCCTTTAAAAATAGCAATATTAAGATTACAATCAGAACAATTATGTTTATTAGATGCCGATTAGATTAAGAAAAATTTACAATCCTTTTTATACGAAATATTAAAAAACAGGAAAATTCGAGAACAACAATATTTGCGAAATAGTTGTATACGCTTCTATATATTTAGACTCTCGATATCAAGTTTTATTGAGTGTTGAGCAAAAACAAATGGCTAGACCATCTTAAGGATTTATGTAAGCAAAACTCCATTATTTACAATATATTGGAGGCTACGACAATACCTATTGGTTGTAGTGACAATAATAATAATGATAGCAACATTGATGATCTTGAAATTTTACTTTTCGATAGAGAAAAAAATAAAATTAAATATTTTAAAATTCTGGAAAGAAAATTCTTCAGTATATCCAGAATTATATATCTTGTCTAAAATCGTCATGGCTGTAGCGGCGACACAAGTATAATAATTTATGTTTTATAAAGATAACTATCTATTTAAGGTAAGCGTAGAACGTGGATTTTCACCTTTGAAATATATATTACCTAATTTACGTGGAAATATCTCAAGGATGATATTTTAGAAGATATTATGATTGTGTGATTAAATAAAACAAATATAAATTATTTTATTTTTAAATTATGAATGTGTAAATAATGAAGTATAATAATAAATGAATGGAAAAAAAGTCTTATTTTGAGTCATTTTTTTATGTTCCCTGAACCCGGTCCCTTTTTAAATTTTATTGCACCCGAACCCGGACCCTTTTTTTTTGTCGAAGGGTTCACATCCATAATTTATATATGAAGTATAATAATGGTGGGTGTCATTAAGTAATATTAGAATATTTTTGACTTTTAAAATTTTGGAGTTTATATAAAGAAAAATTGGCCATTTGATATTATTTTAGATCCAAGGAAGTAGTAGTCCATCATATAATAAAAAGTCTCTTGTTAATTGGATTGAAATTTAGGAATATGATTGATAGGGAAATATCTGGGATACTGTTGAGGAACGAATAATGAATACATTTTGAATAAAAAGCATTGGACTGACTTACTCTTTGTAATATTTTGTTCAATTAACTACAATAATGCAATGGATCAATCAAGCTATGATCCACATACTGTTAAAATAAATGATAATTAGCAGCACAATCAAGAAAAAATATAGAACTTCCTGGAACAGAAAAAAGAAAATAAATAATAATAATTTATATATATTTTTTTGATCATTTATGTAGACATTTACTTAGATTATATTTATATATTAAGTTGTATGCTTTACCCAAGTTTGATTTCTCAAGAAAGGGGGGGGGGGCTGTTGTATCTTTTGATTTGTAATTGACAAATATGGACGTTTTTCAATATTTTCGATAATCTTTATTTTAAGATGTGTGTCACGTGAGATATATATATGTTATTGTCTTTAATATGGAAATAAAATTATGAACATGAAATAGTGGTTTGGGGTTGTATTTTGAACAATAAACATAATACCTGCAAAAATATTTTATACAATTTGTCCAGCCCAGCCCTAAATATTTTTCTCCGACCAGCAGGACAGATTGCGCAGACTTCTAGTTTAGTTTTTATTTTTTGAATGCAAAAATTTTATTATTTTTACATATTCTACAAAAAAATCTGAGGGGGAGTTGTTTGACAGAATGATTTGGCAATATGTACTTTTTCTATAATTTTTAAAAGATATCATAATTTGTATAACAGAAAAGTTGAATAAAATTTATTTATTATATCATACATTATGTGGTGTCAAAAGTATAACACAATAAAAACTGTACTTATTTTTTACATCAAAATCATAAAAAACCCAGATTAAATGAATTGCCATTTTATAAGTAATAATAAAAAGTAAACTATCCCTATTTTTTATATTTACATTGCAGCAAATTACCATTTGCGATATAATGAAGTAAGTATCAATTTTCTTGGTTATTTTATTCTTTCCTAACAAAATTTTGTATATTCTATAAAATATATTGTTTTACTTTGATTTCAAATATTATAGGCTGGAAATATATTTTTGAAAACTGTTTGGTTATAAGATGAAATATGTTCATTGTTTTTGCTTACAATGCCATTTAAATTTTTAGAGATTTGTTGTGAAGATATAGAATCGACAATAGTAAGAGCAGTGCCACCTTTAAGAATATTTAAAATATAAAATGAAATATAATTAATTGCGCCAAATAATATAACGTTTTATGACCTCTTTAAGATATTGATTTTAAAAAATTGGATAATTTCATGTCAAGTGTTAGGGTGAAATGAAAAAATAATATATTAGACAGACGATTTCCTAAGATTAGTAAGATTCGGTATAAAAAGTAAGGTGAGTGTAACTAAAACTTTTTGGAGTTATTAAATGTAAAGATCGGGAAAATATCTCTTTTTACCATATAAATCCAACAATACAAATCGTCTATTAAATCATGAGTAACTAAACAATAATAAGATAAATTGTCATAGAATCCTGAAAAGAGGAGGAAACTCAAATTCCCACTTTTTTGGAATCTTTAAAGAACCGTAAAGATTTGAAATATTAATCATAGATCTTACCCGGAATTGATCCAAAAGCCGAAAAATGATATAATATTAAAAATCTGAGCCAGGCCGAGCTTAAAAATTATAAAAAATTTAAATGGCTGGCTGAAATTTTAATATTTTTATAATTAGATCAATTAATCAGTTGAAAAATCACGTAGAGTAAATTTACAATCTATCTTTGAAATATTCTGCAAAAGATGGCCAAAATATTTAAGATTATTAAAATTTAAAAATATTATATGGACCAAAAATAAAAATCCAAATTGGGTCAAAATATTTTTAAAAAATCTCATGCCAGGCTTGAAAATAGAATTTTTTTTATTTAAATATAGGGCCGTAGGCTAGTATAATTTGGTTAGAATAGCAATAACTAATATTTTTAATGCACAATGCGATTTTATTAAATTTGATCAAAATGCTTAATATATTTTTGGAAAAATCGACTTAGATTATTCCCAAATTAAAATTTAAATGAAAAATAATATGTACAAGTCAGTGGTGTCATTAGCCTTTGCTATCTAAGAAGGCTCAATCAAAAAATTGGGGGCGGGTCTCCGCCTTCCATTCCCCCATTTTTTTAATCGATGCAAACTATGAATTAGTATTCAAATCCCCATATTTTTCTATTTATTATACAGTTAAAGTATCTAGATACAAAATGTATTATCTATATCTAGATACTATATTGACACAATTTTATTTTACGTTTTTTCATAGATATTTGAAATAAATTCATTTAATAATATGTCCATTAAATATTCGACTTTTTTATTATCTTTAAAAAAAAAATTATATAATTTACAGAGGATTAAAAAAATATATATTAAAATGGATACTATAAAAAAAATATATATATTTAAAAAAAAGGTGGGTATATATCATCCAAGAGGAGAGTGAATGCTTAAAAAATTAGACCGGCAAATTTCCAGGGAAATCTGCTGGCGAAGGTAAAATCCTTCATTGGGGTCCCCTGAGATCTGTCTCATTTTTTTTCCTATGATTTTGATGAAATTGAGGGCCTCGTTTCCAAACATGCCTAGGGTATTGGTAACGATAGGAATGAACAAAGTGTTGGCGAGGCCAGCGTATTTATTTTTTTAAGGATTTCTGCCTTTTCGATAGCAGAAAATGAGAGGTTAGACTTGGCTGCAAAATCAACGCAAGTGTAATCCCATGTTAGCGGAAGACCATTAGACCAGGGTATGAGAGAAATACCATCCGGGCGTATGGCATATTCGTTTGAAAGACCCACTGGTTCAAGGGTAGATGGGATATTAACTTTTTTGAGGGCGGCTAGTAAAATGTTATTGATAGATTTATGACGAGGTTGTCGTCCACGGGAGAACTTGCAGTGCAAGGGATGGTAAGCCTTCGATTCAATGGGCTGACCACAGTCGATGCAGATTGAGGGAACTACGACATTACAGCCGAGGCGGAGGGCTATAGATATACGTAGCTGTTCGCCAGTCATGAGGAGGCCGAGATTGGCGCTGGGGATGGCTTCCAACCATTCGTAGCCAGAGTTTGCATTTAGTACCAAATTATTGGGATTTTCCTCAAAGGGCCTGTTCGAAATAAGATATTCAACGGAACGGGCGATCAGAGGAGCATCCCAGTCTTTTTGGGTACTGGAAACGGGACGGCTAAGGGTGGGAGAGCAGTTGTTGTCCCAAAAGGTGAGGGCCTGAGAGAGGTCAGTATCTGAAGGAGTAGATTCATTGTCGATAATAGATTGAGCAGCAAGACGAGATGAGATAAAGGCTGAAAGGGAAAGTTGTAAGTGGATGATGACAACATGGCAAATTTTATATTTTATAATATTAATTTAAAAAATATTATAATTTTTAGATCCATATTTCTAGAAAATCTCTAAAAAGCAAATAATATAATATTCGATTTTTAGGACACCCCACTTATTAGATGATATAAATTTTAACTCATCAAATTTTGAATATATTTAAAGATTATACCAATATAAAATTATTATTCATTAAATATAGCAAGCACTCTCCCGTCAAGTATTAAGGTAGAAGTTTAGTGTGGCTAAAAATTTCTTTACAGATGGTGATGCCTTATTGATAAATATTTTGAGAATGTTTATTATTAAAATTACCGAATTTTACCACAAGGAGAATTACCTTTCATACATATTAACAGGTTAAAATTCATACTAAAAGCCCCCATTGGAGTAACTGAATCAGCTAGTTCCCTTTTAAACAATTTTATATCAACAATATAAGACCTAAAGCCCTTACACACATTACCTATCTCAACCTTCATTTTTCCTAGTGAAAAATTTCCTTTATATACCTAAAATCCTTCATGCACTCAGATCGTCTACATTCTTCATACATTTAGATCGATTATTCTCAAAGCACAATCAAGGACTGTTTTGAAGAAGTTTTAAACATCAAATTATGCCCCTTGTCATGGATGCAAGCATCTCTTCCTTCCAAGAAGGGAGTATTGGAATTCGATCCCCAATTTCTTTATCACTAACAGCTTTCATTTCATCACGCATCTCTTCCGATAAGTTAATAAAACACTCTTACCAGACCTAAATCTCCCTTTAACCACATTGGACAATAGTAATATAATTACCCAATAAACCTCGCCCCACAAGAATCCTCCAAGAAGATTGAAACTCTCCATTAACTGCACGTTTCGTGAAACTTCTTCTTTCGAACAGGCAATCAGAGGAACTTACTAATTTTCTCCTTATCAATAACCATAATGGTTACGAATGGCTCAAGGCCACTCCCTGTCAAAATCTAGACACATACTTCTCTCCAGAAAAACACAGGATATCAGCTATTTTAGATGTTACTTTCCAAAAAAATAGAAATGACGTTCCTATTTTACTGAAATGAAACGGTACTAGTAACTGAATTACCTTTAAGGACATTACTTTAAACTCTGAAATAAACCGATTACCATTATCTATATCTTTTATGATAGAGTTAACTTATATGCTGACTTGTCAATTTTTATACAGACTATAGTCAAGACTCAAGTCGATAGGAAGCAGCTAATGAGTAGATTCAAAACAGACTCGAGTCAGGTTTGAAGCGACTCATTGAGCCACTCGATTTAATAACAGCTTTGTCAACTTAAAACTTGATTTTGCACTAAGCCAACCATTTGACGATTCTACCTTATTTACTTTTCTAAAAAGTATATTTGACCACATCGATAAAAAAACCACAAATAAACACTTTTGGTCAAGCTATCCTATAAATAATTTCAAATTTCATATGCATATATACTATTGAAAATGGTATTAAATGAAGTAACACTCTTTGATAAATTACAAAAAAGTAGCAAGCTACTTAACAATGATAATTTAATATATAACCTATAGGAACTTCGGATTTTAGAATTGATAACTTTTTTGATCTTTTATGCTTGTCATCATCTTTAGGCTTTTTAACACTTTTTCTCACATCAATGTGTTTTCTTTTTTCATCTTTATCATTATAATAATTTTCTTTGTTAATTTTTACTGCAATTTTTTCATTTTCCAATACTCTAATTTTTCTCTCAAGCCCTCTTTTGAATTGAAATATTGCATAATTTATGCTATTATATGAGGGTATTTGATCTTTAGCATTTTTGTCAAATAATCCATTACTATTGTTATCAAATTCATCCATTGTCGATTTAATAGAAGATTGATCCCCTAATTTATTATCTTGGAAATTATAACTGATTTGAATATGTTTTTTTGTAATATCTTCTAATAGGTCATATGTATTATTATTATTAACCATATTTTCATTTTGATTACTATCATTTTCATATTTATCTGAATTAACTCTTAAATTTCTAAAAAATAATGGTTCATCCAATTTTTTAAGTTCATTTTCTATTATTGATCGCCTTTCTAGTATTGACTCTTTAATAAAGAAAAATATATAAGGTATATTTATTTTATAGAAGGCATTCCTTTCCATGTATAATTTAGTGTTAATAAAAGGCTAGATTTGAGCCGATTTTTAAAAACGGCTAACTCTATTTTATTCATATAATATTACACAAGCCTAAAGTTTTTGCTCAAAGGTTTGGAAATCTATTAGAGAAATCTAGAGACTTGGGCAATATTTTTCCGGCTAAAATATTAAATTTGCCTTTTTAAAAATCAGCTTAATCAAAAAGTTTAACAACACTAGTAACCGATCAAACAAATATTATTTTAGTGAGATCTCTTGGGACTTGGGCAAAATTTGCATATAAACTACGGTACATGTAACTAAATAGTGTTCAAATTTGGAGATATCAAGCCAATTATGAAAAATAACCTATTTTCATGCTTAAAAATTGTTATTTAAAGGATTTACTACAAATTATAGAATTATAAATAATGATTCCAATATCAAAATAAAGTACTTACACGTTAATTAGGCTCGGTTTTAATTAAAATGTGATTTATTTAAAAACTAATTTAAAAAATTGATATATGACATTTATAAAATTAAAGGACATGTTGATGGTTGACCGTTGGTTCTTTTAAATGAATCCTGGAAAAAATATTTCAATTTTAATAAAATTGATTATTCTACAAGATTCTAAGTAACTGTTAGATTTTACCAAATGTAGGGGGTTTAGTGTCTAATAAAATTAGTATTTCTCCTAATATAAACACCCATCCTTAACTTTGTTGCATAACCTAAGCTAATTAATGCAATGTACTTTGAACTTGTATTTATGAAATAACTAAAATACTTACTTACTTATTGAGTACCTCTCTGAAGTACAAGTATCTTTTAAATTTTATCGAATTTAGTGTAGTATTTTTCCTCATCCAATATAAATACTAACCCCTATCTTTGTTGCATAACACTTAGCTAACGTTGTCTACAAGCTTAATATCAAGACTTACCCCGAACTACGTAGTTTTCGGTAAAAACTAGGGCTGTGTCGATATTAAATATCGGATCGGAGTGGCACCGATATTTAGCGTATAAATATCGGATCGAGCCGATCCTGTAAAAAACCAGATCTGATCCGATCTTTTTTTGTTATTTAATGTTATGTATATTTATCATTATTATAATATTTTCTAAATATTTTTTTTAAAAATAGATATTAATATTAGATTCAATATTAGGTCTTAGTTAGTTTTAAATTAAGAACTAATTATTTAACATCAGTAAAAAGCAAAAAAAAGACGTTTTTTGGACCTTTAACCCCGATTATCTCCGTTAATATAGTTGCTAATGCGCTAAAATTTTGTTTATGATCTAATATGAACATATATAACCAGCCTACAACTTTTTATCGATATTGAAAGGAGTCAGCCGAAAATCTTGATTTTCTTGCTCATTTGACATGGAATGACCCAATTATAAAGGTTAAAGGCTCATTACGGTTAGAAATTTTTTTCTAAATTATTTTTATTGTAGCAACACCATCGTACAATGATTTTAATTATGAATATTATTTATTAAAATTATTGCCATCACTTAAGTTAAAATATTGTTTATTTATAAAATAGATGAAATTTATTTATTTTTATAATAAGCAGGGTTTCGAACCGAACCGCCAAACCGGAATGAACCGTTATAATTTTCTGAACCGTAACCGAACCGTTATAAAGAAACTATAAAAAGAGCGAACCGAACCGTTATAAATATTTAAAACCGGTTTAAACCGGTTCAAAACGGTTTTAAAAATAATTAAATTTAAACATTATTAACCTAAATTTGAAATTTGAATTTTCCTTGGGGAAATTTTTAAACTCTTTATTTCTTTTCAAATTGAATTTTTTTTAAATGTCAATTAATACCACCATGTTTATTGTTTTTTCTTTTCACTTTAATAAATACTCAATTTAATAGAGATTAGGCGAATTACCAGTTAATTAGATAAGAATCTTAAAATCAAACAAGACTATTCTTTAAATTAACAAGTTTATTCTTATATATATATATATGTATATTAGTTATTAATTAGCTTATTAATACTTGCTAATAATTTGGGAAAAATCATAATTCTAACTAACATCTAAAGAAAATCAGGTACTGATTATTTTAATAAAATACTGTTTTATATTAATTTCTTATTAATTAATATTTTCATAATAAATAATTTATAATGACTTAAATGAATATTAGAATTCTGAAATTAAAAAAAACATATGATTGTTAATTAATATTCCTGTATTTTATGGTTAATTTATTTATTTATTTCCATTTACACTTTAGTGGATAATTTCTTGAAATAATAACTACTTACTGATTAACCTCAATATCTTATAGCACCAAATAAAATTTAAACACATGAAATTCAATTGGATAATTATAAAGATGATCCATTAAAGTTTTAATTTAATTAACTTTAATTTTTTAATAAAAGACAGTTGTTTTTGGAATTTTAAACAGCTTTTCTATTTCTTTTCTTCTTATTTTATATCTTATCTTTTTGCTTCTTTCTTTTCTCTATTAAATCAAATTATTTATTAAAATGGTATTAGTAAGCTCCATTCACTTATTTAGTTTCATCTGTGTACAAGGTTTGTTGTTAGTATCTTTGAGGAAAAAATCGGCATAATTATATGAAGGGTAGGCCTGCATATAATTCACGTTTTTGGGGGAGATCTTGTCAGATAAGATAAATAAAAAATTATACTGATTCTATTAAGAAATTTATTTATTCTATTTTTATAATAAAAGATTCTAATCTATTCATCATCAAATAGCATATTAGTATCTATTAAATGGTTCGGGAAAAGTCAAATCCTGTGCGATCATATTTTAAATTAGATATTGTAAAAAATCAATCTACTTGTAAACTAGAAAACTGTGGTAAAGTTTTAACCGGGGACCATGCAGCAAATCTTGAACGACATATAGAAAGATTCCACGATAAGGAATTCAAATTATTTAAAAAAAAAGATAATTTGACTATTGTCAGATAAGATAAATAAAAAATTATACTGATTCTATTAAGAAATTTATTTATTCTATTTTTATAATAAAAGATTCTAATCTATTCATCATCAAATAGCATATTAGTATCTATTAAATGGTTCGGGAAAAGTCAAATCCTGTGCGATCATATTTTAAATTAGATATTGTAAAAAATCAATCTACTTGTAAACTAGAAAACTGTGGTAAAGTTTTAACCGGGGACCATGCAGCAAATCTTGAACGACATATAGAAAGATTCCACGATAAGGAATTCAAATTATTTAAAAAAAAAGATAATTTGACTATTAAAAAAACAATAACAAAAAATGCAAATAATCATAATACAATTCAAAATGCTTTTACCAAAACTAATACAATACAAATTAATATTAATAAAGACACTTTAATCCGCTCCTGCACTGAATTAATCACAGTTCATGGGAGACCAATAAAATCAATTGATGACAAAGCATTTAAAAATATTATAGATCCGATAATTGTAGGATTGGGTGGTAATTTAACCATCAATTCTGAAAATATACGCAATAATATTAAAAAAATGGCATTTGATTTTTCGCAAAATTTAAAAAAAGAAATATACCAAAAACTTATATCGTTAAAATTAGATATTGCAACTCGATATGATAGGTCCATACTGGGGATCAATATTCAATTTATAGATAATGGAGAAATAAAATTAAGAACGTTATGCATGAAAGAGATAAAAGAAAGACATACATCAGAATATCTAAAAAAAATTATTCTAGATGTTCTAAACGAACATGAAATAAGAATTGATCAAATTTATACGATAACCACAGACAATGCAGCTAACATGATTAAATTAATCAAGCTGTTAATACATCATGATGAAGAAGATGATATCCTTAATGATTATTTAGATAATGATAATTTAAATAACAATGATGATATAATTGTTAATGAAAATGAAGAACCTTTTTTTAATATTGAAAGTATTAATCTTGTACCTCATACGAGATCCATGTTAATGGGCATTAGATGTGCCTCCCACACATTTCAATTAGCAATTAATGATTGCATAAAAAATTCAAATGAAATTGTTATTATTAATAAAGCAAGAAACATTTGCAAAAAAATAAGAAATCAGACTACAATGTCTATTTTGTCCAAATTAAATTTAAAAAAGCCACTAATAGATTGTTGCACAAGATGGAATTCAATCTATTTAATGTTGGAAAGATTATTAGAGTTAAAAAACTTTTGCCAAGAAATATCGGCCCAAAGTAATGATCGTGAAAAATGTTTGTCAGAGAATGAATGGAAAATAATTAGTGATATATTAAAAGCTTTATATCCATCTTATATTTTGACAAAATATATACAAAGTGAACAAATGACCATGGGCGATTTTTATGCAGCATGGATCAAATGTATCATGCAAACTAGCAAAATAGACACTTCATTTGCCAAACTTTTAGTTTGTACAATCAAAGCACGAGAGATTAATTTGAAAAATGAAGTTTTTTGCTCAGCTATATATCTCGACCCAAGATATAATGTATTTTGATCATTTGAAGAAAAAGATATCGCCAAAAAACATCTTTATAAAACTTGGAACTTAATCCAAAATTTAAATAATCAGAATATTGAAAATCTAGATACTATTCCTACGTGTTCACATTCGAAAGATAACTTAGATGATGATTTTGAAGATTTATTAATGTCGCATGAAAGCCTTAATAAGAATAGTTCTCAGGGCATAGAAAATTATAATAAATGTGTAGAAATAGAGTATATAATTCGGTCATTTGATAATATAGAGAGATTAGAAAAAGATGCAAATCTTTTGAATTATTGGGAAAATGTAAAAAATAGTATGCCAGAACTTTATAAGTTAGCTATGGTTGTGCTAGCAGTTCCAGCTACGCAGGTATCCGTAGAAAGAGCATTTTCTAGCCTTAAGTTTATACTTTCTGCGCAAAGAACTAAATTAAATCCTGAAATA